GCTACAATAATAAAAGCAACAATAATTGCGGGAATCAAAATGTCCAACAACGAGTTAACTGGCACAAATGAGGAAGGATATATTTTCAAGAATATTGCACTTACCACTCACGATCAACGTGACCTAAAAAATACAAATAGAGTAGATTATCATGTTAACAGCATGGTTCCTTAGTTGAATTATATTTTCTTGTACATTTTTTTTTATGATTGCGTGATAAAAAGTGATTTTTATCAAACAATGGCATGTAACGCAACACTATRGTACTGACCTGAGCAAGAAGAAAGGCAAGTATTGCCACTTTCGTCATAATCGGTTTTTATAAAAATCTGTCAATCAAGAACACAAAATAAAAGTGATACGACAAAAAAAAACACATCCAATATTTCATATATATCTGATATAAATCCACCCAACTTTGCATAAAAATCAAATCGTGGACCGATATAAAAATATATTCTATGAATGTTGTCTTCTAAAATAATGAATCGATTTCACTGAACGTGTGACAGTTCTGGGAGACGTGCTTCCCGGTCGTTATCACAGTAAACAACAGACCAACAATAGGTCTGTCAAAGAGTGCATTCAAGCACGAACCGTTTGAAAAAAGTTGTTCAAGCAGCAGTTAATGTATTTTGTAATAAACAATGGAGCTCAAAGCACTAAATACTTTGCACTACTGGCCACTAAACAGTGCTAGTTACACAATAGAAAACAACTGTATTATCAAAAATTAGCACTCAATGTTGCACAATTTTAGAGTGAAGGCTTTAAACCCGTGAAAACAAAACATGACTGTTTTGTCAAATAGACACAAAAGAAAAMAATTGGGATAGTGATCTTAAATTTCTTTAAAAATGCGTCTGAAATAGCTGGTTTTTGTTCGGAACTCCTTAGGTTGGCTGTAAAATGCTCTATCCGTAACTCTTGTGTAATTAATAACTCTAAAAGATTTTAAAATATTGAGAATTCAGTGGTATAGGTGTTCAGTGGTATGCATTTTCTATATTTTTAAGTCGATTCAGGTGYGACATCAATTTATCGTTGCGTTACCGTCACGCTTGGTTTTAACCCGATTGCGTAATGCTTTTCAGTCATTTGAAGAAATTCTGAATCATTTTAATAGGGTAGCTGATTTTCAAAAATCAAACTTTTATTTTGCTGTCAAACGGCACATTATGCTTTRAAAACATTTAATAAACATAATTCGAAGAAAGTTTGGTTGATTGGCAATCGTATTCAGCGAGATAGGATCGCCAAAAATTACCCATGATTCGTCTAATTTATGATAGAATTACTGTAATTAGACAGTTTCTATTAGGTAATTCCATGCACTAAAAATTATATTTTTACCAATCGTCGAGTTTCTTTTTCCTATTTTTAATGTACAACACCAAAACGATGCAGCGATATGATTATGCTGAGAAAGCAAAACTTATACGTGTTGAAGCGATAAACAATAGGAATAAAGTACTGAACAAAGGTCAGAATGATACATATCACATTTCCGCTCGGTACCACGTCCTATTTYACTTTCTAATTCAATGATAACGGTCAAGAAACTCTATCACAATAAAAAAAACATAAAAGACAAGATATTTTATTCAACCAGCTCTGAATTATTGATTAATCTGCGCTTGGAATTAYAATAACAAAACAAASTCCGGGTAACGCAATCAACTAACATTGTAGCTCGAACCCYAGGGAAACGWCATGAAATAGTTAGCAAAACTAAGGTAGCAATAATAAGTTTAAGAAATTCGGGTATATCAAATATTTTATGCACAAGCATTAGTGACAGGCATTAATGRTACTCGTCAAAGAATATTAACTTTCATTTGGACGCTCTGTTGAATTCGTAATGTTTACAAAATAATAGAATCTCGATAGGGAATTATTTTTGAATATTGCTAAAATTGTTGAAGTATTAAGGAAGTCATCGGAAAAAGCAGAGAATATACTTGCGAAATGTCAACTCGATCTTACCTTTTGTCAAGTCCAGTAAGAAGAGATCGATCGAGAGGTGTTGCCGTTCTATTTATTCAGAACCCTATATGTCCTGTCACGACCTGTCACCAAACACAGGGAGCCCACAMMATATTTTGTTCRGATAGAGTTCCTACAGAAAATACAATTGAAAATAGAAATAGAAAGGGAATATACGAATGTCCCTATGTGGAACCTAAAGTATGTCCT